CCAACGTGTCTGCGTATTTATACATCCAGCACAACCAAAGGACGCCCCACTTGGTAAGGAGTTTACTTTGTCGAAAAAAAATCAAGTTTACATTTTTTTATACCCCAGTCATCCGGAGAATTTGGAAATTGAAGAACAGTGTCTCGTCGTAAAAAAAATGTCTAAGGTATAGTCGTTGATCGGGAAATCAATATACATACTTCTGGTATAAGAATCATTTAGGAAGGAAATGAATGCCTTTATAAGGTATACAGTCACATAGAAATATTTTTAATGAAGGGTAGGCTATTCGTAATGGCGACTTAGATCCATTTAGGGTTTTTTCAGTATACTGATGTTGATAGTAAACTGCATGCACATTGCTAAAAAACTACGAAATATTGATGCCTGATTAAAATAAATGGAGAATGTGTCCATGGGACACATATGAAGCCCCCGCTTGCATATAACGTTATAAAGGGATATAACTAGAGAACTGTAAAAGTGACGCCACCCTAATTCGAACTTGATCTGTGTTTTAAGGTAATATGCATTGGGTATATTAAGTTTCATAACATTTGGTTAAGGCAAACTAAAGTTAGAAAACGGAAACCAATTTTGGGACGGACGTTCGTTCTGACGGACGGACGGACGTACGGGTGCTTAATGCCCCCTTCGCCTAACGACGGGGGCATAAAAATGTTGATCTGCATACCGAGTCCCTGTGCGGCGAACGCGTCAAAAACTGAAGAGTATTATTTGGAAGAGAGATAATCATTGAACCAGCTTACCCACTATTTGAAAGACAGAGTGTTCTGTCCTAATTTCACTCTTTCTTAAATATTGGTGCCCATATATACAAACTAAAGTGGTGTTCTTCTTCAACTAATGGCATTAAACTGTTATATTTTAGCCCCCATTTTCCCAAAAAATATTAAATTAGAAGTTTTAGTTGAGTTAGAGCACCGTTATTACTTTTTGTAGCTAGAGTTATACCAGAGAAACGTTACCGTCTTATTCACTCATATAATCGTGTACGCAGCAAAGCTTCCTGGTTTCCTTTATTTTCTTACTCTTAGAAAAAGGAAAGAACGGGAGGAGCTTAGACCAGTGCATTCAATTCATTCAATTCTATCACAAAAGTTGTAATTGCACTGACTTGCTAGTCCTTGTAAAACATGTAAAAATAAAGCAAAATGTTATATCTATTGATGTAATGTTCCAAAACATTTGGATAAATGCAGACAAAACAAGTAAACAAAACATTAATTTTGGGGCTTTATTTACTTTATGGAATCCGAACAATATGGGGCTTATCCAAATTTACCATAACTCTAAAACTAGGACCTACCAATACCTAATCATAATACTAGTCAAACATCTAAATACCTAACCCTAAAATTTAAATTAAACCAAACTCTAACCTAAACCTGAAAATACAGGGTCCCCAACAGCAAATGGAGGGGGGGGCTACAAAAGGGAATAGCGTGTTTGATAATGAGTTACTGATAAAAAGGTCGAAGATACCTTAAAAACTGTTTACAGGAGACCAGATCCTCGGTTTTCTCCCTATTTTACCGACCCCTCTCAGTATATTTACATCATTTGGTCTCATTGGCACTTAAACCACATCTTGTTTCCATGCTTATGTTGTTGATGGCAGATCTTTGACTCGGTGTACAGCTTGACCAATAGTATAGTCATCAGTCTATTTTTCGTTATCGTATGATGACTCAAGATGTCTAGTTTTATTAATTGGCGTCGTTCGTTTGCTGTCTCAAACAATCGTACCTCACATTTCCTTTTATTCATGTTTGAATAACTATCGATCAGGCCAGGGTACTAAACCAAAAAAACTTGCCCACCCCGTATTACACAATAACATCCATGTTCAAAGAAACATTCTGTACCAGGTTAGGCGCCCGCAAACATTAACCCCGCCACATTCTGTATGTGCCAGTCCAAAGCCAGGAGCTTGTAATCCAGTGGTTGTCGTTTGTTGCTGTATATCATATGTGTTTTTCGTTAATTGTTTTGAACACAAAACAGGCCGTTAGTTTTGCCGTTTTAAATGTTTACATTTGTCATTTTGGGTCATTTATAGCTTGCTATGCAGTATTAGGTTTTCTTATTGTTGAAGGCCGTATGGTGACCTATAGTTGTTTTTTAAAACGTCTACGTCTTTTGGTCTCTGGTGGATATTTGGCAACAATACCACTTTTATATTCTAGCGGGAACAAGTGAAAAAAGCTGATACCTCAAGAAATCGATCCAAATTAACCCTAACTCTAAAACTATGTCCTACCAATACCTGATCATAGTCAAACATCTAACACATAACCCGAAAATACAGGGTCCCCAAAAGTAAATGAAGATCCGAGGGGGAGCTACAAAAAAGAATAGCATGGTCGATAAAAGAGACATTAGTAGTAAATTTCTTTATCAAATACTTTCAAGTTTCTAGAAATACCAAAATGGAGTAATTGATAAATTTAATAAGTCGCTGGTACCGTAAAAACTGTTTAAGGGAGACCAAATCTTCGTTTTTCTCCCTATTCTACCGACCCCTTTTTGTATATTTACATAATTTTGTCTCTGGTGGATACTTATCTCATTTGCAATTAAACCACATCCTGTTTCCATGCTTTAGTCGTTGATGGCAGATCTTTATGTCGACTCGGTATACAGCTTGACCAATAGTATAGACATCACTCTATTTTTCATGATCGTATGATGACTCAAAATGTCTTTTTTTATTTATTTTGCGTCTTTCGTTTACTTCCCCAAGATGTCTATTGCTTTTTAGTTTGCGTCGTTCGTTTACCGTCTCAAGACGTCTATTGTTTTTTTTTGTGTCGTTTGTTTGCTCTTTCAAGATGTCTGTAATTTTTTTTTTGTGTGTCGTTTGTTTGCTGTTTCAAGATGTCTTATTGTTTTTTTTTGTGTCGTTTGTTTTTCTTTATTTTTAGTGTCGTTCGTTTGCTGTCTCATGCTTTGAGTTTCTTGACGTCGTTTGTTTGCTGTTTTGCTCGTCCCGTTTTACACATCCATGTTCAAAGAAACATTCTGTCACAGGTAAGGGGATGGTTGGGCGCCCCGCACATGTTTCACCCCGCCACATTCTGTGTGCCTGTCGTAAGTCAGGAGCTTGTAATTCAGTTGTTGTCGTTTGTTTCTGTATATCATAGTTGTTTTCGTTTATTGTTTTATACATAAATCAGGCCATTAGTTGAATCGTTTGAATTGTTTTACATTTGCCATTTCGGGGCCTTTGATAGCTTGCTATGCGGTATAGGATTTGCTCATTGTTGAAGGTCATACGGTGACCTGTAGTGGTTAACTTCTATGTCATTTGGTCTCTGGTTGGCAACAATACCACATCTTATTTTTATATCCTAGTGGGGACAAACAACATCATAAAACTAAAAAGCAGACAAAATAGTGACAATAAAGGTAAGAGAAATAAAACTAGTGGAACTGTTTTCTTGGACTAAAATTAATGTACAGCCTTGTGAACTAAAACTAACGTATCGCCTTGTGGACTAAAATTAATGTACCGCCTTATGAACTAAAACTAACGTACCGCCTTGTGAACTAAAACTAATGAATCGCCTTGTAGAATAAAACTAATGTATCGTCTTGTGAATTTAAACTAATGTATCGCCTTGTAGACTAAAACTAATGTATCGCCTTGTAGACTAAAACTAATGAATCGCCTTGTAGACTAAAACTAATGAATCGCCTTGTATACTAAAACTAATGTATCGCCTTGTACACTAAAACTAATTTCTCGCCTTGAAGACTAAAACTAATTTCTCGCCTTGTAGACTAAAACTAATGTATCGCCTTGTAGACTAAAACTAATGCTTTCACCTCTAGAAGTCGGTCAAGTAAAGAAAAGGTCAATAAAACACAATTGCTGAAAAGGTATTGTCGTGGCAAATAAGAATATTATTTATGCTTAATGAATAGGAATTTTAAATGTTTTCAATATATTGAACACATAATGATATTTAGGTATGGGCAATGTCTCCCTTCCCCAACTAAGACAAAATTAATGGTGCACTTAAAAGGTCTTGTCATGACAATTAAGAATATGTATGGTTTAGGGTTTTTTAAAGATATTAAATAATGAGTGGTATTCAAGGGATTGGGCATAACACACAGAGACAAAACCTATATGAAAAAGTTAATATCAATGTAATTAAGACTATATATTATCTAAGTAAGGGTGAATAATCAATGATGTTCATGAGATTGGGCATGTCCCTCAGGGACGAAACCTTAGTTGAATTAAAAAATATTATCAAGGCAATTAAGACCAGACATCGTAAAAGGGTGGTCATCTGAACAATTTTTGAGATATTTAACGATTTATTACACGAAGGACTGGAGCATAACCACCCAGTGGCAAACCCTTAGTTGCATTGAACAGGTCTGGTCATGGCAAGCAAGAAAATATATGGTTATGGAGTGGACATATACAAATCAATAATTTTACCATTAAGGTCAAAGTTCAAGGTCAGTGTCAAATATCAAAACCCTATGTCAACGGATAAAAAAGTTGTTTTAGACACGAAAATTTCCTAAAATCAAGTATTTCAAAATTGAGGACCAAGGTCAAGGTCACACGATAGTCATTGTTATAAGCGACTCACCATCTTGACTCACCATCTTATCGTGATACAACTTCATACCTAATATCAAAAGCCAGTATCAAAAGACAAAAAAATTTGGCCCGGGCATGGTTGTATGAGAAGAATCAGAAGAAGAAATACTACTATAAAATAGTGTCGCCCTCCGTCGAAGAGGAGACATAATTTAATTCAGTACACAAATTGAAACTGATATATATTTATATCTTTTTAGCTAGTTTCCTTCATCATATACTAAGTACACATCAAGCATATCAATTTGTATTTTAGTTTCCGTCAAATTTATTTTAGAATAAAGGGAAAAGAGAAAATAAATAATTTTTTATCCTAATAAAACAATACTAAATGAAACCATATATGTTTAAATGATATCAACGAAAAGATTAATTTAATATCCAACAATTTTGTTGTGTTCCTCCGATATCTTTTTATCAATTCCTTTCATCTTTTTCATCACTGAGCTAAGTTGTTTATTGAACACGTTCACATCGTTTCCTTTGTTTGCACTTTTCAATTCTTTTTTCAATGCTTTTGACTCAAACGCGTCACCCATTTTCACCTTTGAATGCTCCATGTAGTCTAAAAGTTTTAAAAGGTCAACTTCAAGATGCATCAGACTTGAGTACATAGGAGAGTTTGCTCCATACAGACCGTCCATCGAGACCTCATTCTCCTTATTTTTTTGTGTAACTATATCGTCGACCTGATTCTTTTTTGTGTCAGCCATTTTTTCTATTTTTAACGCTAATTTTGGTGAAGCCCCTTTTTTCTTCGTATTCACCCTATATAACATCTTTTCAATTTTAGCTTTGATTATATTAGCTTCTTTCTTTACTTGAATTCCCTTTTCCAGTATAGATGCATTCCCTTTCTTTATAATGGCCTTTTCCGTGGTGTTTTTTGAAGTATTTTTGACACCTATTTCGGCAGGTTTCGTTGGATTAGGTGTTCCTAGAATATTAAGTGTATTGTTTTTATTTACGCTTTTTACTCCTGGTTTTGTTCCGTTTCCCTTGACAAGTGTCTTTACGGCTTTCATTGCCGCTTTCTGCATAGTTTTCTTCTTTTTAGAGCCAAGTAAATCTGCAAGTTTCTTTTGTTTCAGTGCTTTTCCTTTAACAATTTTTTTCACATCCTTCATAATTGTTTTATGTAATGGTCCCTTCTTTTTTGAGCCAAGTATTCTTGCAAGTTTCTTTTTTTTCAGTGCTTTTCCTTTAACAATTTTTTTCACATCCTTCATAATTGTTTTATGTATAGGTCTCTTCTTTTTTGAGCCAAGTTTTCCTGCGAGTTTGTTTTTTTTCAGTACTTTTCCTTTAACAATTTTTTTCAAATCCTTCATAATTGCTATATGTAAAGGTTTCTTCTTTTTTGAGCCAAGTATTCCTGCAAGTTTCTTTTGTTTCAGTGCTTTTCCTTTAACCATTTTTTTCACATCTTTCATGATTGCTTTTTGTAAAGGTTTCTTCTTCTTTGAGCCAAGTAGTCCTGCTAGTTTATTTTGTTTCAGTGCTTTTCGTTTAACCATTTTTTTCACATCCTTCATAATTTCTTTTTGTAAAGGTTTCTTCTTTTTAGTGTCAAGTATTCCTGCAAGTTTCTTTTGTTTCAGTGCTTTTCCTTTAACAATTTTTTTCACATCCTTCATAATTGCTTTATGTAAAGGTGACTTCTTTTTAGAGTCAAGTTTTCTTGAAAGTTTCTTTTGTTTCAGTGCTTTGCCTTTAACAATTTTTTTCACATTCTTCATAATTGTTTTACGTAAAGGTGTCTTCTTTTTGATAGATTTAAGTATGTCTGCAGTTGTTTTATTATCCAGTGCTTTCCCTTTAACAAGTTTTTTCACGTTAACAAGTTTTTTCACTTTCTTTATTATTGCTTTCGTTATTTGTTTTTTCTTACTAGGCTTTATCTTTTTTGCAAAAACATTCTGCTTCAGGACTTCTCCTTTTACGAGTTTCTTCAACAATTTTTCCACTGCTTTCTCTTTAGATTTTTTCGTTTTATTTCCAACTTTTATTGAAATACTTCCGTTAGTCTTTTCTGGTTCAAGTATTCCTTCTACAGCTTCTTTATTTAAAGCTTTACCTTTGACTAGTTTCGTCACAATATGAACCACTCCTTTTTTTGAAGGTTTCTTCTTCATTTCAGATTTATCTTTAAGGCTCGTTTTAGACTTGACAGCTACTGGTTTTAAGTCAATTTGTTTTTGCTTAACTTTCAACGTTGTAATCATTTTCATCATCTTATTTAATGCTTTCTTTTGTTGAACGTTGGTCTCATTTTTCGTTTGTTCAGTAGCTTGCTTTCTCTTTAGTTCGGCTTTGAGTGCCTTTTTGTTAGCCTTTTTTATTTTCTTCACCGCCACTTGGAGTTTCTTTTCGGTAGCCTTCTCTAATTTCTTCACCGCAACTTTGAGTTTCTTCATTTTTTCCTTTTCCAACTTCCTAAGCTTTGTTTTGAGTTTCTTTGTTTTTGCCTGTCCCATCTTCTTAATCTTAGCTTTGAGTTTCATTGTTTTTGTCTGTCCCAACTCTTTAATCTTAGCTTTGAGTAATTTTGTTTCTTTCTGTTTCATCTTTTTAAGGTCAGTCTTGAGTTTTTTAGTTTTAGTCTGTTTCATCTTCTCAAGTTTGGTTTCGATTTTTTTTGCTTTAACTTCTTTTATTTGATTAAGCTTAGCTTTGAGCTTCTTTGTTTTAACTTCTTGTTTCAATTTACTTAGCTCTTCTTTGATTTTCTCTGATTCTGGTTGTTTGATTTTCTCAATTTTTGTTGACAGTTTCATTTTTTGAATGAGTTTTGATGTCTTTGGTTTAATCTTTGGTTTAATTGATGTCTTTGTTTTTTCTTTAAGTATTGCCTGTATGTCTGATTTTAGATTCTTTGCTTTAGTATTAAGTTTCACTGATTTAGTTGGTTGGGACATCAAAGACTTTATCTTTCCTCCTGTAATAGCTGTACTAATAACAATAGGGTTACTTTTCGTTTTCTTCACCATTTTCTTTATTTTCTTTGTTTCAACCTGTTTTAGTTTATCTATATTAGCCTTGATTTTCTTTGTTGCAACTTTCTTCATCTTTACAATCTTATCTTTGACTTTCTTTGTTTCAACTTGCTTCAATTTCTTTAGTTTAGCCTTAAGTTCTTTTTTTTTAACTTCCTGCACTTTCTTAGGTTTTGCTTCGATTTTTTTTAATTCGACCTGTTTTACCTTCTCAAGTTTTTTATCGACTTTTTCCATGTTATCCTGTTTTATGATTTTAAGCTTAGCATTTAGTTTCTTTGTTTCAACCTGTTTTTCTTTCTTGATCTCAGTTTTGAGATTCTTTTTAGCCTGTTTTATTTTCTTAATTAATTTGACTTGCTTTTTTCCCGTAGCAGCTGTACTAATAACAGTTGGTTTACTTTTCATTTTCTTCAGCTTCTTCACGATTTTCTTTGTTCCAACCTGTTTTATGTTCGCTAGCTTAGCTTTGATTTTCTTTGTTTCAACTTTCTTCATCTTTATAATCTTATCCTTGACTTTCTTTGTTTCAACTCGTTTTAATTTCTCAACTTTAGCCTTGAGCTCTTTTCTTTTAACTGCCTGTACTTTCTTAGGTTTTGCTTTGATTTTTTTGGTTCCGACCTGTACTACCTTCTTAAGTTTTTCCTTGAGGTCTTTCATTTTATTCTTTTTTACGTCTTTAAGCTTAGCAGTTAGTTTCTTTGTTTCAACTTGTTTTGTTTTCTTAAGCTTAGTGTCGAGATTCTTTGCAGCCATCTTTATTTTCTTAAGCTTTGCATTGAGTTCATGTTTTTGGGCTTGTTTTATTTCATTAAGCTTAACACCTATTTTCTTTTTTTCCACCTGTTTTATTTCCTTAATCTTTGTATTAAGTTTCTTTATTTTAGTTTGTTGTTTGTCTTTTGGCTCTGTCTTGATATTGGTTTTTTCCGACTGTTTGATCTTATCAAGCTTGGCATTAAGAGACTGTGTTTTGACTTGTTTTATTTTCTTAAGTTGGGTATCGAGTTTCTTTATTTCTTCCTGTTTTATTTCCTTTAGCTTGGCTTTGATAAGCTTTGATTGAGTCTTCTCTATCTTCTTAGGTATAGCTTTGAGTTTCTCTTTTTTAGCCTGTTTTATTTTCTCTATCTTTGCACTGATTTTATTTGTTTTCACCTGTTTGATTTGTTTAAGTGCTGCATTTATTTTCTTTGTCCCAACCCGCTTTATTTTCGCCAACTTAGTGTTGAGTTTTTTTATTTTAGCCTGTTGTTTTTCCTTAGGTTTAGTTTTGATTTTTGATGTTTCAGCTTCTTTGATCTTCTCAATTTTTACCTTAAGATTCTCTGTTTTAGCCTGTTTTATGCTTTTAAGCTTGGTATTGAGTTTCTTTACTTCAGCTTTTTTCACTTGCTTCAGCACATTTTTGATATTCTTTGCTTCAGTCTTTTTGATCTTCTGACGATCAGCTTTGAGTTCCTTTGTTTTAAGTTGTTTTATTTTTTCGAGCTTAACATTGAGTTTGTTTGTTTCATCCTGTTTTATTTTCTTAAGCTTGTCAGTTAATTTCCCTTTTTCAACTTTTTTCATATTTTTAATCACAGTATTAAGCTTCTTTGTTTCAGCCTTTTGTATCTTCTTAGGCTCATCTTTTAGTTTCTTAGATTGTGTCTTTTTTATTTTCTGAAGCTTCAAATTGAGTTTACTGGTTGCAGCTACTTTCACTTTCTTAAGCTGATTAAGAAGTTTTTTTGTTGCAATCTTTTTAACTTTTTTCAGCTTAGCAATGAGCTTCTTTGTTGTTGGTTGTTTTAATTTTATGCTTATAGGTTTAACTTTGAGTTTCTTAGATTCAGTTTTGAGGTTTATCTTTATATCCACTTTCTTTTTCCTTGGGTCATTTTTGATTACTTTGTTAATATTCTTTGACTTAGTGTCAGCCTTTTTCTTTTTCTTTGACACATTTTTGAGTACTTTTTTTATAACCTTTGTTTTAACCTTCTTATTCCCTGACTTATTTTTAGTGACTTCCTTTATCTGCTTTGTCTTAGTTTTAAGTACTTTGTTCCTGTTCTTTGACTTAGCTTTAGTCGCCTTATTCTTATTTGACTTCTTTTTACCATCTTTCTTGGTCGTCTTTGACTTAGCTTTAGCCACTTTATTTTTGCTTGGCTTAAGTTTTCCGTTTTTAGGTTTGTTTATAATTTTCTTCGAATTCTTCACTTCTTTCTTCTTTATCTTGGTTGAATTTGACTTTGGATCCTTTGCTTTTTCTACTTTAGTTTGGGTTGCCTTTTGAGTGACAGAGGTTGATTTAGATTTCGGAGTTAACTTTTTTGGTAGCTTTTTAATCTCCTTTTGCATAGATTTCAGTGCTTTATTTTTCTTGCTTTTGCCTGTCCCGTCCTTCTTAGTTTTTACCTCCGTGCCCTTCACAGTCGAAAGTGTAGTTTTTGTGTTTCCTTTCTTGGTTTTAGATTTCTTTGGTTTCTTGAACTCTATAGGTTCGATTGCTTTTATCTCTGATTTTCCATTCGCCTTAGAGTTGAGCAGCTGTAAAACTTGCGATTTAATACTCCCATCTTTACTTGTCGTTGGCTTCTTTGGACCTGCCGAAGATATAACATTGGCTTTGCGGGTTTGTCGTTGAAAATTTTCAAGCGGACTGTTTCCTGGCAATCTGGAAGAAAGAAAATATAATTGATAAACTGGTAGAAGGAAGACCCTAGATAAAAACCGGATGTTACTAGTAAATCATGTCCACATATTGACAAGTTAGTTAATCGAAAAACAAGTTTATGAAATGTGAAGGAGTCAACAGAAGGATTGGTTTGAGTCGGTTGAATTTTATGTATGGACTTAACTTGTGGTGATTCAGATGAATAACTTGATTAATTGATTGCCTGATGCCTGCCGTCGCGCCCGGCACCTGTACTGCTTTGGTATATGTAGGTCAACTAAGGAGAACTTGGTAAACCTACTACAAGTCGAAGTGTTAGCGTAGTAGATTATATGGTATGTACTGCGAATATTTTATGTAAAGTGGATAATTGCGAAGTTTCTGATTTTTGTCAGATATACACTCTCCTTTGTGTTTGTCTTTTAACTATAAAGTAATACACAAGGTAAAAGCGAAGTAATTAATGACAGTACTGTACACGTTGGTAAATGGAAACACGAAAAGACAATTGAATAAAAAAACAACATTGATCACGGTGGGTAAGGTTGTCCTGCAAGAGAACGTTCTGTGCTGGTGATTCGGTTCTGACTGGTGCTGGTGATCATTAAAAATATGTAAACAAAGACGAAAATGACGAATTTTGACGTTTTCTCGCATAAAAATGGAAGGAAACAGTTGAGATGTTTAAATTTTGTTTCTTATGGGTTCATAGGCAAACAATTTTAAATGTGACCCTCTAAACTGTTTCAGTAAGCGTAACACAAAAGTGCTCATTTTTAGAAAATCTAGAACTGAAAAAATAAAACAAAAATGCTCCTGAAGTCCGCTTTCTATACCTAAATCCACACGACAAAATTATTTTGTGAAAAACCTGTGCAATTTATTAAAGTTGTGCATTTTCTCAGTTCAGATTCTGTGCTGGTGGGTACTGTCATTGTGCTGGTGGGTCCTGATACGGTGCTGGTGATTTTGGGTAAACAGTTGGTTATATTTGAAACAAACGTTACAGAATCAATAAAATTGGGCAGATAATTGTATTTCTCTAATTCTTCGTCAATTTATTCCTTTCTGCACCCATTTTATAAAAAAAATTTAATCAACGTGTGGTTCGTTTGATCTCAGTTCTTCATTGGTTAAAATCCGATTATGACGTCGAATTTTCTTGCTTTCCTCTGAATTTCCTATTGTGACGGCATGAAAAAAGGCGACCATGCCTGATGACGTCACATAGAAAGAACACATCTTTTTGCAGATCATTCGAAAAGAAGGAATAAATTTGCCTGCGTATTGTTTGAAAATCATTAGAGAAACAGATTCCACCACCAAATCTCGTGTAATACGATATTTATCCACTCTCGACAGTTAAATTTTAAATATTTAACTGTCTCGAGTGAATAAATATCGTATTACACTCGATGCAGTGGTAGAATCTATATTTAATCGGATTTGTGACTCCTATTTTTACTTTTGTGCATCCATTTGTCTGTTTAATGAGCGTTTTCAAATAATCGTAACTTATATTACATAAAAGGGCAACATCTTCCGTCCAATATCAGATGAAAATATATCTAGTAATTAGAATAGTTTTATTTAAGATACCAAATGCCCTTAAATTGATGATTCTCTAAATAATATGCTATATAAAACAGTTTTAAAAGGTTCTTAAGGTTAAGCGACATGTATATTATAACAACAAACGTTTGACTGGTTTATTTCAGTTAAATATACGAGGATAGATGATCTTACTACTGGTGCCTCTAATTTCTTCCTTAATATATACACTGTCTCCAATACATTTCGACTGGATTTTCATACATGGCTGATAAAAACTTACTAGAATGGAACAAGATGTAAACAATTGCAAGTCAAAGTATGACCTTCAACAACGAGCAAAAACCATAACGAATACTAGCTATAAAAATCACGGTAAACGATTAAATAATGAAGACATTCGGCCTGATTTAAAATACAACTTCGAACAAAAAACAAACATGACAGACAGCAAGCATCGACCACTGGTTTTGGGCACTCGTGACAGGGCTTAACATGTTTGTTTGCGCTCCACACCCCACCCAACCCCTCCTCCTTTCCTCCTTCATTGGTACAGTGGTGTAACAACACAACACTTAGCACACAAAATAATAACATAAAGACACAAATTATTGAACCATGCGTACTCGCAGCTACTGAAAGCTAGTTCAACTAATAGATAAACCATGTTCTCTTAGAATAAAATTTCAATCGGTACACATCAAACAAATTTCGCAAAACTTAAGTTTACATTTTATATATTAATTTTTGTTTTAGCAAAACTTTAAAACCGTGCAGTGAATCTTGTGCTCACAACAGTTATTGTCATAAATATGAATACATCAGACATTATAAAGGCATGTGGAAGATACTAAGTAGTATTTTACAGTCCAATTTATTGATCATAAAAGGATGGAGATTGCATGGAGGTTAACATAGGATAAGAAGAAATTGAAAGTATTTTTGGCGAAAGACTTTAAACCTTCTTTGCGTTAAATTCTGAAAGTTTTTTTGTTGCCGTAAATGGTAAAATCCTCAACAAAATCCCAATAATTTGTTGGAATGAATAAAGGTTTTAAATCAAATTTTCATGGACTTTGATCCACTTTTCAGCCCCACACTGACGAGCCATGTGAGCTGTCGGTATCCTGTTGCACATACAGCCCGTAAACTTTCACATTTCCATCTTTTTACCCAATTCATACGTTACAGTATTATTATCCTAGTAACCGGTGTTACCAATGTATCGAACATTTTAAGTTAAAAAATTCCACAATGCTATATTCATTTTGTGTGTCAATTTGTTTAGACAAAACAAAACTGCAAAAACTTCGAATACAAGAGAGTATTTTTTTAAATGTCATTATCATCTGTCGATTTCTAGATCTATGCATAATATTTATTTCAGATGACATGGATTTCACACCCTGATGACCCTGCTTCCCTCCATATATTCATATTTATTGTCCTTCCCTACGCCTATATCACCCTGCTCAGTCGCTCTGTAATTCTCGTATCACGGCTTTGAGACGATAGCAGGCATTATCAGCGACGTCACAATGTCTGAGGAAAGGTTATCAGCGACGTCACAATGTGAGAGGAGACTTTATCAAGCTTGCTTTCGTCAAGCGTAAAACTGTCTTAAGGAGGGAGAAAAGACCAGTTATAGAACGATAAACAGATAATCGGGTTTTCTTCGTATAGATATCGTAAAATATCTGCCGCTCGACACGTTACAATGTGAAGCCTTTTCTCTTGTCCGCTTCGCTCACTCGCCAAAAAGGTTCACATTGTGGCTCGCGGTTGATATTTTACGATATCAATGTGTAGAAAACCCGATAATCTATACACATATATAAATAAACATACTAAAGGCTGCAACTGGTATTTTTGCATTTAAAATGATTCATTGCAACAAGAATATTTGTATTGAATAGAAACTGTGTGGGTCAAAATCTTGTATTGCTGATAAATGTTGCTGGACCAAGTTTCGGCATCTGATCTGAGTTTTCTGAAAAGTGCTATATAAATAGACATTGGTCTGTTGAATATTTTTACTCGGTAAGTTTTGCTCTAACCATGCTAACTGCTTGAACTTTTGCGATATAAACTAAAAACTCGAATATATTTTAACAAACAGTGGTCATGTTTGTTGATGAATATTGTTTTTCCTAGATTCACTCAGGAAAATTCATTTGGTAACATTTGGTCAAGCAATTTCAGAGAAGATTTTTTTTAATTACGGACGCCAAGTCAATAGCTCACACGGCCCCTTGATACAGGTGAGCTTAGAGCAAAACGGGTTGATAACCAGTTGAAATTAAACCAAGTTTTGTAAAGTTTGTATATTTGGATTGTTTAAAACTGTTTTTATGGCTTTTAAAAGTTAAATGTAGGTGTATAATTTAAGATTTTTTGCATCTTATATACTTGTTTATACTCAATTGGTAGTATGAAGCTACGAGATATTGTAATTTTTGCACATTTAACAAAACAGCTGATTTTAGTAGGTGCAAATACTTCTGGGTTTTTAAGATGCATAAGCATAAATTCAACTGAAAAAAAAACATGCACGAAAAGATAAAATATTGATCTTATAAAACATTAATTTGCATCTCTGCACCCGGCAACAGTATTTTTTATTGGGAGGGGGGGGGTTTAAAAATGGGCAATTATCTTATCGTAAAGAGACAGTCGAGTACACATTTTACGTTCAAGGCGCGTTTGAGTTTTTTTTCCTGAAAACGTATAAAATAAAAATAAAATGTTTGATATATCTGGCTTTAGATTCGATTTTTCTTTATATTAAGGCTACATGTTAATACAATAATACTGAGAATTCACAGTATCAAAATATAAAATAAATGGATGAAGTGAAATACCTTTGTAACGAGTCATTACTACAGAGAAGGTGTGTTTGAAACACAAAAATTAAAAGCTTCGTGCTATTACAAATATTTAACTAAAAGTGTATTTCTTAGTCTGGTATTTTTTTTTTCGATCGCTCATTTTCAATTAAAATTTAGGCATATTTTATTTTTATTCAGGAAATATATTTCAAAATAGAAAATTAGGGCACATCGTTCACTTACTCCCCCTTAATTCTTTATCAAAAATCCTTGACAACAGACTTTACTTTTGGATCTTTAAAATG